TCTCTCTCTCTCTCTCTCTTCTCTCTCTCTTCTCACTCTCACTCTTCCCTCTCTCTCTCTCTCTCTCTCTCTCTCTCTCTCTCTCTCTCTCTCTCTCTCTCTCTCTCTCTCTCTTCTCTCTCTCTCTCCCTCGCTGATATTTCTCTCTCTGCGTGTTTTTTTGCGATTTTGTTTTTTTATTGTTATTGATTTCGTCTTATTTTCGCTGTTTCTTCTTTTTTATAGATTTATCATTATTATGTGAGAAATATTAATTAATGGCCTCCTACCCCTCACCCCCCCTTACCCGAACCATAGGCACGTACAGACAAAAAACAACAAAAAACAACAACACAACAAAAGATGAATAAAAGAGAATGCTAACGATTGCTCCCGCAAATATATCAACAAATAATTTCTTTCTCTCCCCTCCTTCTCTACTACCACCCCCACCCCCCTCCACCCACACACACACATATCATTGCCTCCCTACGTCATTCACCCCCCCCCCCCGTACCCTCCTGTCGCTTCCTCCTCCCCTGCAACGACCCTTAATCACCCCCCTTCCCCCCTTCCTCCTCCCCTCCAAACGACCCCTCCACCCCTTCCTCCTCCCCAACGACCCCCCACCCCTTCCTCCTCCCCCAACGACCCCTCCACCCCTTCCTCTTCCCCCAATGACCCCCCCCATCCTTCCTCCTCCCCCAACGACCCCACCCCTCCCACCGACCCCTCCACCCCCCTCCCCTCCCCAAATCCCGCCGCCGTCGTAAAAGCGGGACCGATAAACCCACCCACATAATCAAATTGTTTTCCCTCCAAAGTGTCACAGTTCCCGAAAGAAGAAAAAATCGATGCCATGTCTCCTCCGAAGGCTCGTGTAACACCCCCCTCCCCCCTTCTCCTTTCCCTCTTCCCCTCCTAGCCCCTTAGCCCCCTTACCCTTTCTCCTCCTCCTTCTCTACCCCTCATTCCCTCCCTCCCTCCTTCCTCCTCCCTCCTCCATCCCCCTATCCTTCCCATAAACCCTTCCTCTTCCCTCCTTCCCCTTCCCCTCCTCTCCTCCTTCCTCCCTTCCTCCACCCTTCCCCAACCCCTCTCTCACCCCCTTCCTACTCCCTTCCCTCCTCTTCCCCCCCGGAGTAAAATATGGCACTGGGAGAGGCGGTGTCAGGTGATGACTCGCCCGGTGATCGAGTGCCACGAGTCGAGCTCCTGTCCTGAAGAATGGCACTGTGGCACCGCTGAGTTATGACCCCGACTCGCTCGCTCGCTGGGTCGGCCGGGTCGAGGACGAACAGGTGTTGGAGGAGGAGAAGGAGGAGGAGAAAGAGGAGAGAAAGAGAAGAAGTAAGGTGGTGAAGAGGAGAGGAGAAGGGATAGAGAAATGGAAGAAATTTTGGGGGAGGAAGAGGAAGAGAAAAAAAAGAAAAAAAGTGCATAATAGGAATATGGAGAAAGATCAGGAAGAAAAGAAAGATGGTGACGAAGAAATAGAAAAAATAGGAGAAAAAGTTGAAAGGATTAAGGAGATGAAGACGATAGACATAAAGAAATAAAGATCAGGAGAAAGGTAACAAGAAGAGCATACATAGAAAGAGAAAACAGAAAATATAACCAAACTCAACATGGAAAAAAAAATAATAATAAAATAAAAAATAAAACATAACCAGCAATACAAGACAATGACTGCAACTTTTTTTCCCCTTTTTTTCCTTGTCGACCGAACCGAAGACAGAGCGGAAGACAGCGTCAGGAGAGAGCCACAGGAGATGACAATGACAAAGAGGCGAAGGCGATGACAGATGATGGGGAAAGGAAGCAACAGAAAACGATAATAAACAATAAAAGGCGTGACAGAGAGAGAGAGGGGGGAGGCGTCGCAGGGGATAAGCCTTTGGGGAGTAAAGAAAGGGGGAGATAGTGAGGGAGAAGAAGAGAAGAGAAAAATGGGAAGAGATAAGAAAAGTTTTAGACTGGAAACTGATGAAACATAAACGGATAGACAGATGGAAGATAGATAGATAGAAAGAGAAAGAGAGAGGAGAGATAGATAGATAGATATAGAGAGAGAGATACAGACAGACAGACAAAAGCAAACAGAGATAAATAGACACCAAAAAAAGAACCGACCTACACACGAAAAAGACGAAAAGACGAAAAAGAACGAGAAAAGCGAGATACGGAGAGAGCGAGAACGAGAGATAAACACAGAGACAGTGCCCGGGTGTGAAAGGAGCGGAAATATCTGTCAAACGAGGCAAGAAATATGTCCTCCGAAGCCAAAAATCCGAAGAAAATCGAGGAAAGAAATAAATGAATTCAAGAACCAGCGAAGGAGACGGAGGTTGTGACACCGAATAAGATTTTTGTGTTTGACGACCTTCGTTTGAAAGGAATACCAAATTTTGACTTTTTTTTTCTTTTCTTCGGGAGTGGAAGGAGGTTTTTCGATGGTCGTGGAAATTCTGAGAGTGGAATCCGCGAGTTGTATGTTTTATATATCATTATTTTTTTCTTTAACTATATGAACGTTTGTATTGATTTTTTTTCACTACACATGTGACTATGTGAACGTATGGTTCTGTGTTCTTTCTATTTTCTTAAAGAATCCTCGCGGAAAAATGCGCATTATTATCAGCGTGATTGACGAAGACCAACGCCGCACAAACATCACAAAAAGACACTATTGATACATCACTTCACTAACACTGCACTAACGAGACGCAAAATCGAGCACAACACCGAAATAGCACCGCACTGAGTTAACACGTTGATCGGAACTTAACACTACACAGATAACACGAGAGGAAGAGGCTTACCTGTGCCAGACGGGAGCGAGATGGGCGTGAGTTGATTCGGGGGCGTGACGACCTGCGGCGGCTGACCCTGCACGCCCGTGTTGTGCTGCAAGGGCGGGGGCTGCTGCTGCGGCTGTTGAGGGGGCTGGTGCTGCGCCTGCGGCTGTGGGGCTGCGGGAGCGCGGGCACCTGCGTCTGCACGGGCGGGGCTGGGCGGCTGCGACCGACACGGGCGGGGGCTCTTCTTGCCCGGCTGGGGGCGCGGCTGCTGCTGCGCCTCCCTCGCCCACGCCATGTACTCCTTGTTGAAGCCCACGGGCGAGGGCTCGCAGTAGCCCATCTGCGGGCCGGCCATGTAGGCGCCGTACTCCGGCTGGTGGTGGCCCTGGGGCATCACCATGTGCTGGGGCATCATGTTGGAGGCGAGGCCGCACGCCGCGCGGTAGTCCACGTACTCGTCGTAATACTGCCCGCAGGCGGCGCCGGCCATGTCGTAGCCGTAGCCGTTGTTGAAGGCGTTCTCGTAGTAGGAGGTGTAGGCCGGCGGCTGGGCCGGGTAGGTCTCGTAGAAGGTCTTCTGCATGGCGGAGGCGGGAGGGGGGACGACGCCTGCGCTGGCCGCTGGTATGTCCTGCGTCTCACACGGCACCAGGTGTACTGACCCCTGGCCCGGCTCGCCCATCTTCTCGACCTCAGGTCACGTGCCCAGGCTCAGCCAATCACAGGCCAGGAACGAGGTCAGCCGCTCGCCTGCAAGAGGGAATCATGTGAACGCGCGGCCAGCCCGGCCCCCTTGACCCTGCGTGACCTAGCTCGCCTATCATGACACGCCGTTTAGTGCGTTACCAAAACACAATTAATTAAGGAGATTTATGACCTAAATTTGAGCACAGGTGAGATGTCCATAACACATGAAATGGTGTTAATTGGTCCATTAGGCTGACACTAAACAGGAAATATATATGTGTTTATATACACGTTAAAGAGGACGTGGCCAATTTAAAGACATAAAGAAATTTTAAAAGGTAATAAAAAGTAAACACTTCAGATTAATATTACCAACAATAACTACAGAATCTATAAAATCAAGCCTGCCAAGGGGATGCAATCACTTATATCCTAAATAGTTTATTAACTGTGAGCCTTCAGATATCTAGAGTTGAGTTACGATTACCACACTTACAACTTTCTCACACACTACAAACCCGATATTCAATACGGATATTAGATTACCATGATCATAGTGATGATGATGGTAACAGTCAAGGCAAGGACAATAAGGCTAAAGATGACTAATAAAAAGATAAAACAGTAACGGTAATCTTAACGATATCGGCAATAATATCGTTAATAGCAACTGTAATGCTATTGGTAATAAAGGCAATGATACCAATGAAGATGATAAAAACTAAATCGTGATGACGTGTAACAACAATAATAACAGCAATGATAATGATACAAAATGATAATAAAATAAATAATATAATAATAATAATAATAATAATAATAATAATAATAATAATAATAATAATAATAATAATAATAATAATAATGATAATAATAATAATAATATAATAATAATAATAATAATAATAATGATAATAATAATAATAATAATAATGATAATAATGATAATAACCATTTACGAATATTGTGAACAGGATTGGCCCTAGTATAGATCCTTTCGGAACACCGAAAGAACCCATCTGTTTTCTTGATATATTATCACGAATTTTGACTGATTAGGTTCTGTTACTGTAATGATGATGATAATAATGATAATGATAACGAAAACAAATAATCTTAACAATAATAGCAATAATTAAGATAATAAACAATTATAATAATGTTAATAAGGATAATAAAAATATTAATAATGATGATAATAATAACGATGATAATGATAATGATAATAACATCAACAACAATAACAGTGATAATACTAATAATAATAATAATGATAAGAACAGGGATAAGGAAAATTTTAAGAGAAGGAATAAGAATTAAATTCAAATAAAAGTAGGAATAGGTACAAGAAGAGAAATAAGAATAAGAATAAGAAAATGAGTGAGAATAGAAATAAGAATAGAAAATAAGTGAGAATAGAATAAGAATAAGAAAATAAGTAGATAGAAATAAGAATAAGAATAAGAAAATGAGTGAGAATAGAAATAAGAATAAGAATAAGAAAATGAGTGAGAATAGAAATAAGAATAAGAATAAGAAAATGAGTGAGAATAGAAATAAGAATAAGAATAGGGATACGAATAAGAATAAGAATATAAATGGAAATATGAATAAGAATACAAATGATATGAATTATGGTATTAATGATTATTGCAATGTTAGTAATATTATTTAACGTTATCACAACAATAATGCTAATTATGATAATAATAAAACAAATTAAATGACAAATATAATAATGATAGTAAGAATATTGATAATGTTAATGAAAATGATACTACTACTATTACTACTACTAGTAGTAGTAGTAAGTAGTAGTAGTAGTAATGATAAGGAGAATAATCAATCATAAAATAAAAGCATAATAACGATTGAATTAATAAACAATATTATTTAACAATTATAATGGTAATAATGATAACAATAATAATGATAATTATTACTACTATTATCATTGTTATTTTTTATTACTGTTATCATTATCATTATCGTTATTATTATCATTATTATTATTATTATTATTATTATTATTATTATTATTATTATTATTATTATTATTATTATTATTAACATTAGCATTAGCATTATTATTATCATTATTATTTTTACTATAATAATATTTTTATTATTATCATTATCATTATTAGCATTATCATTATTATTATTAGCATTATTACTATTGCTATTACTATTATTATTATTAGCATTGTTACTATTGTTATCACAGTGATAACAAAAATGATAATAGTAATAATGATAATGATAATAATAATGATTATAATAGTAAATTATACTTTTAATAACACAACAACAGCAGCAACAACAACAACAACAACACAACAATAATAATAATAATAATAATAATAATAATAATATAATAATAATAAATTTAATATAATATAATAATAATAATTAATATGATGATGATAATAATAATGATAATAATAATAATAATAAGGATAATAATAATAATGATAGGGATAATAATAGTAATAATATTGATAGTGATAAAGATGATAATAATAACAATAATAGTAATACCAATAATGATATAATCATAGTA